ATTTTCTCATCCCTGCACCTGGTGAAAGGGAAAGTGAACCTTAACTGCCCCTGCCTCTGATCATTTAGGGCCCATCCCTTGGCAGGTCCCAGTGAGTCAGACTTCTACCGAGAACTTGCCTGACATCAGGGTTTGCCAGCTTCCCCCTCCCCCCTTTGTATCCTGCATCCTCCCGCCAAGCATCTGTTTCTTCTGAGCAATGTGCATGAAGCGGTGGATTCACCCGGACTGACTTTGTACGGGTTTTTTTCCCCCCATAGCAGAAGCAATTGCATTGCAAATGGTTGAATTGCAGGCCTCGGAGGGTCTTGTCGCTTGGTGCATTGCAGTATGCAGACTGCTTTAAAGAAAAATAAGAGTATCTTGCAGCAAGGCTATTGTCATCATTTATAAACGTACTTGACAGGGGACATGGTTGTTTCCAAAATGAAGCTTTCACTCTCGTTGAGGGTGTCACTTTCGACGGATGTATTGGCATTTTTTAGCCGCGTTAGCCGAGACTGCAGCCTCTCGTGCTCCCTCCGCAGCTCCGAGTAAGAGTGAGAGAAGGTGTGGAATATCGAGGTGGCCGGAAATGCCATAATTAGAATCCCGCTTAGGATGCTACTGAGAGCCACCATCTGGCCTGGAACGCTCCTCGGTACCATGTCCCCGTACCCCACTGTTGTCATGGAGATGATAGCCCACCAATAGGAGGCAGGGATGCTTGTAAATTCCAAGACTTTCCCGGATTCGTTCTCGGCCAGGTAGACCAGGGGGGAAAAGAGGGTGACGGCCACGCACAAGAACAGCAAGAGCAGGCCGAATTCCCGCGTGCATCGCCGAATCGTGAGGCCCAACGTCTGTAGGCCCAGGGAGTGCCTAGCAAGGCGCATAACATAGAGTATCCTCAAGGCACGTAACACCCGTAGCACCAGACCCACCTTCTCTATGTACGAGTTTCCGCTCGGCCTGCTGTCGGCCTCGGCGGATTCGTCGTCCAGGATGACCAGGGAGGCGTAATAAGGGGAGATGGCCAAGAAGTCGATAATGTTCAGGGGGCTCTTGAAAAACTCGCATTTGCTCTTCGCCTGGATGAACCGGAGGCAGAACTCGAGCGAGAACCAAGCCACGCAGACAGTCTCGATGATGAATATGTAATAGCACTTCTGGGAACATTCACCCTGCGGGCAGAGGAGAGAGAAAGCTGGATGAATGAGCCAGAAAATACAGCAGAAGCAGAAACCCACACCTTTATTGGAGATCACCGAATGGGATTTTCCCCGAAGGGCTTTCGCAAGGAGAACATTCCGTGCTGACCTTTTAAAAATAATAAAACTAGCACTAACTCAGCAGCCTTAAATGCATGATATTCTTATACACAGAGACAAGACAAGACTATTGAGAGGTTAGGGGGGAATTCCTGAGAGTTATTCACATGTCCAGATGAAGGCGCAAAAGACCCAACAAGCATGTAAGTTGCATGTAGGTGGTGTCTCTTTATGCAACCAGTAACCCTGGTAAAGGAGCTGCGGTGGCTCAAGTGGTTAAGACGCTGAACTGCAGGCTGTGGAAGGTCAGTAGTTCAGCAGTTTGAGACCCAGGTGCCGCAAGACAGAGTGAGCTCCCATCTCTAGTTCCAGCTCCTGCCAACCTAGCAGTTCGAAAGCAAGAAATTGCAAGTAGATAAATAGGTACCACTTCGGTAGGAAGGTAACAGCGTTCCGTGCGCCTTGGTGTTTAGTCATGCCGGCCACATGACCACGGAAATGTCTTCGGACAGCGCTGGCGCTTTGGCTTTGAAACGGAGATGAGCACCGCAACCCTAGAGTCTGATTCGACTGGCTTTCGAGCAAGGGAACCTTTACCTTTAACCCTGGTAAGAGGCAGAGTGCCTGCCTGATTGCATACATAGATCTGACTTGGTGCTTGGGGGGGTCAACAGTGGGAGGGCTTCTATTGTCCTGGCCCCACTGCTGGACCTCCTGATGGCACCTCGTATTTCTGGCCACTGTGTGACACAGAGTGTTGGACTGGATAGGCCTTTGGCCTGATCCAGCATTGGCGTCTCTTATGTTCCTATGACCATCATGTGTAGGACCTGTCCAGCTTTTCTGCAGAACATGCAGAGATCAAGGGACAGACCTGGTAGTTCCAATCCCACTTTCTTATGATCCTTCTCTTTCGCTAGGGTTCCCAGACCCCTGACAGGGGTGGGGCAACTTACTAGCAGCAAGTTGGCCTCTATCACCAGCAACGTGACAACATCGCTTCCGGCATGCACTGGAAGTGAGGTCATCAGATCACCAGCAAAGCGTGGATACTCTAGTGTTTGGGCAAAAACTCTATGGGAAAGAAATGGCTTCTACCACAGAGTTTTTGCCCAAATACCAGAGCATCCCCATGTCGCCAGTGAGATGATGATGTCACTCAGGGGTCATTTCGTAGAAAAAGAGGTGCAGGAGCTCATTAGCATAACTTATTTGCATATGCCACGCCCCCTGACATCACCGGAAGTGTGTCAGAAGGCAACACCCACCGCTCAGGCTCCACTGGACTGTTTTGGATTGCTAGCTATTGGGGGGGGGACATGCAGATCTGTCCTCGCAGAGGAGGGAGAGCTTGTACCTGAATAAAACTTGGTCTTAAAGGTGCCACTGGACTCTTTTGGATTGCTAGCTATGGGAGGGGAGAGGAACGCGCAGATCTGTCCTCACAGAGGAGGGAGAGCTTGTACCTGAAGGCGGGCCGGGGGGGGGGCTCTGCAACTTACCTGGCTGCTTCTTGCTCCTCCTGGCCCAACTGAGGGCTGCTGGGAGCAGGGGGCGGGGCTTATTACATGTGCCCCCTGGGCTCCTTACTGCCGGAGCTCCGCTCCTGTGCGCTCCCACAGGAAATGACCCCTGATGTCACTCCTGGTGCACGCTGGAAGTGACTTTGCCGTGTCACCAGCAACAGAAGCCTCAGTTTCCCACCCACCCAGCAGTTGCCAGGGAGTACCAGGCAACCCTATCTCTCACACACCTCCATTTCCTCCAAGGAATTCTGTGTGGTGTATGTGGTCCCTCTTTTCCTCAACGGTTGTCCTCACAAGAACCCTGAGACATATGTCAGAGCCGCATCATACACCGAGGAGTGTCCCTATGCCCTGGCTTTACCATCTTCACCATCTTTCACCTCCAGCCTGTGCCCTGGCCTTGCCATTGTTATCTCTAGCCTGTAAAAGGTTCCCTTGCTCGAAAGCCAGTCGAATCCGACTCTAGGGTTGCGGTGCTCATCTCCGTTTCAAAGCCGAAGAGCCAGCGCTGTCCGTGGTCATGTGGCCGGCATGACTAAACGCCAAGGCGCACGGAACGCTGTTACCTTCCCACCGAAGTGGTCCCTATTTATCTACTTGCAATTTCTTGCTTTCGAACTGCTAGGTTGGCAGGAGCTGGAACTAGAGACAGGAGCTCACCCTGTCTTGCGGCACCCGGGTCTTGAACCGCTGAACTACTGACCTTCCACAGCCTGCAGTTCAGCGTCTTAACCACTTGAGCCACCGCAGCTCTAGCCTGTGCCCGCCCCATAATAAGTGAGCGACCTGAGCTGGTACAAAAGTTATGGGAATCGTACGGCCACCGAAGCTATATTAGAAATAAGTTTGCTCTTGTTTGACTTGATATAATGCTCCAGCGTTTTAATTGTGTTTTAATGGATTCAAGATGGCGGCGCGCATAGACGCAGCGGCTTTGTGCTCTCTCTTTCGGTGTTTTGTATGGCTGTTTTTGTTTGAGTTACTACTTGTTTGTGTTACACGCTGCTGGGCGAATAATATCTACAGCCGGCAGGAGCTTCTAATGCTGGGAATGCAGAGTGAAAAGGCAATTACAGCTGACTCTCTTCACTCCTACGACATACCAGTGGAGATAGCCAGGACGCCGGGCTCCACGTGGATTGCCATCCCCGCGAGGAGGAAGAGGAGGTGGCGCAGGGATAGAAGGCAAAGGCGAGGCTGTCGGACTGGTGTGTTGGTGAAGTTACGTAGGAGCCAAAACAAGCCACCGCTTCCTAGCATTTTTCTTGCGAATGTACGCTCACTTAGCAACAAATTGGATGAATTAAAACTTCAAGTGACAATGAACAAGCTTGTGGGGGACTGTTGTGTTTTGGTTTTCACTGAGACCTGGCTTCACTCTTCCATATCGGATGCGGCTATTGAACTGGCCGGTCGCACCGCACATCGTTGCGACAGGAGCGGGGACTCTGGTAAGAGCAAAGGAGGGGGACTCTGCATATATGTAAACAACAACTGGTGTACGGACTCAAAGATTGTAGCCAGTCACTGCTCCGCAGATGTGGAATTTTTAACTGTTAAATGCAGGCCTCTCTACCTTCCAAGAGAGTTTACTGTTGTCATGGCAACTGCTGTTTACATACCACCAGATGCCAATGCAAAATCTGCACTGGGACTCTTGTATAAAATAATAAGCAGCAACCAAGATAAATATCCTGAGGCAGTGCATATTATTGCTGGGGATTTTAATCAGGTTCCCTGCTGCTCCCAGTAAGTCCCCCACCCCACCCCCTGCTGGTTGCCAGGAGGGACCCGGCAACCCTCACCTTGGCCCCTGATAGGGTTGCCAAGTCCTACCTGTTGCTGCTGCGAGGGACTTCCGGGTGACGTGCACGTCACGTACTTTGGGGGTGGGGTTCCCCCCAGGGCCCGATCCACCACCGGCGGGGAACGGGCCCCCCGCCCCCCGGGGGGACTTAGCAAGCCTAGCCCCTGATCACGTCTGTTACACAAAATCACGTTCCTCCTGACTTCTACACCAGTTTTAACAGTGGCGACTTTCTGCAAAGAACGGAGGGAATCGTCTTTTGGTGGGGATGCCGGGGGGCTCTTCTTGGAACCCTCCTGCCCCTCGTCTTCCCAGAAGGACATGTTCCGGGGCTCCCTGGGGGACTGCCCTAAGCACGGGGTAGGCAACAAATAAACATTTATTTATCTCATGATTCATCCTCCTACCAGCCATCTGGCACATGATTCGCCTCCTGGGGAAGCAGGGGGAAGACTGCATTTACACAACAACAGAGAAGATGCCCCTTCTGCAATAGGTCCCCCCGGGGCCAACATTTCCCACCAGTGTTAGCTGCTCTTCATGGGAGAGTTATATTTTGCCCACAAACCTTTTAGGAACACAGTGAAATATCAGTCAGTGTCAAAGTAATGGGAAACGGGATCTAAGAGAGAGGCTGCCTTTAATATGGGGGAAATACGATTCTCGGGCCTTTGTTAGCCAAATTGCTCTATTACTTAATAACAGACTGAGGGGCTTATGATATTAATGAGCAGTTGGCATAACTATAGGATCAGACCTGTGTATACTGGAGTTAGAATGCCCAAGAACCCAGGAATAGACACAGAGACTGGGTGGCTAAAATAATGATTTCTTTACTAAATATCCTCAAGCATACCAAACAATGATCAAACATTCACACACACAATACATAACTAAGAAAGCAGAGGTGATTGGTAGCTTATAGAGAGGTGATACAACCTGTCCAGACATGCAGGGGTCCATGGCCCAAACCCTAAAGGTTTAGGGGTGGACTGCCAGTTGGCACCAGGGCAGAAGCACACGGCCTGAGACCATGTGCCTGATGGATATAGACATTAGAAAATAATCCCGATCAATGGAAGGTTTTGCGGGCTGTTCTCAGGTGAGAACAATAGATTACTTGGACCAATGACGAGTCCCAGGGGTAAGTGACATCAGGATGGGCAAGACCTAGATGTGACCAATGAGCTTCCGGAGGGGCAGAGTCTGGCTTTAACAATAGAAGCCAGGGCTAGACGGTTGGGCTGGGGGTGTCCATTGTGGAACAATAGAGTGGTCTGGCGTTTCCCTGGTGCCAGACAAAGGAAGTGATGTTTTTTAATGTGTGGCAGGATGAACCTGAATGGGTGACTGTAATGGTTCCATTTTTGGTGTGTGTGTTTCTTTAAATGTTTAGTGTGACGGCAGTAATGTAAGGAGAGTGATAGAAGGAGACAAGTGTGATGTGATTGGCTGATGACTGAGAGTGTGGGAGGAGGGGTGACTGTGACATTGGCTGTAAATTCGTCAGGGGATTAGTCAATGAGAGCAGCTGGAATAGCCCAGTGGGGGGGAGGGGGAGGAGGAGGAGAAGGAGGAGG